AGGAAAGGTCTGATTACGGAAAGCAGTAGTCCCTTTGGGGCCCCTGTACTTTTCGTTCCTAAGCCAGATGGCAGCCTCCGAATGTGTATTGATTAACGGGCATTGAACAAAGCCACTATCAAGAATAAGTGGCCGATCCCGAGAATAGATACCCTGTTGGATCAACTGCAAGGAGCCAAGGTGTTCTCGGCTATTGACTTGCAGCAGGGGTACTACCAATTACGGATCGATAAGGCAGATTCTGCCAAAACGGCGTTTGTTACGCCATTGGGCTTGTACGAGTTCAAAGTACTTCCCTTTGGACTTGCGAATGCCCCTGCGATATTCCAGCAGACGATGCACCATATATTTGGTGATCAACTTGGCAAACACGTCCTAGTTTACTTGGGCGATATCTTGGTGTTTAGCCGAACTGCTGAAGAACATATACAACACCTTCGGCAGGTGTTAGAAGTGTTACGACAGCAAAAGTTATACTGTCGAATGCACAAGTGCCAGTTCAATAAGGAGGAGATCTCCTACCTGGGACACATCGTGTCTCAAAAAGGAATTCGCCCAGATCCCGAAGGGATTGAAAAGGTGAAGAACTGGCCAGTACCTCAGTGCGTGAAGCACGTACAGCAGTTCCTCGGACTGGCAAATTACTTTCGAAAGTTCATTCAGGGCTATTCGAAAATGGCGACTCCCTTGACAGACTTGACCAAATAGAATGGCAAGTGGGAGTGGACGTCGAAATGTCAGTCAACATTTGAGCACATCAAAGAGTGTTTGACCACGGCTCCTTTGCTCAAAATGCCAGATCCTGAGAGACCATTTGAGGTCATCGCCGATGCCTCACAAACTGCTGTGGGGGCGGTCCTGATGCGGGACAATCACCCTATTTGTTATGCGAGTCGAAAGTTCCTCCCAGCGGAGTTGAACTACAGCGTGACAGACCAGGAAGCTTTAGCTTCGGTCCATGCTGTCCAGTTGTGGAGATGTTACCTTGGAGGAACATGCTTCAAACTGGTAACGGACCACTGTCCGTTGACCTACCTTAAGTCACAACCACAACTGAGCCGCAGACAGGCCAGGTGGTCAGAAATCTTACAACAATTTGACTTTGACTGGGAATACCGCCCAGGGCGAAAGAATATGGCTGATCCACTCTCTCGCATTCCTCCATCGCCCGATGAGCAGGAGGCTAAGAGGAAAAGTCAACTAGTTGTATGTGGCTTAAGAGTAAAGCATAAGCGGGGCAGCAAAAAAGAGGCAACTGAAACGGTAGAGGCCAAAGATCTAGCCTCCAGGATCCGTCAGGCCTATGGCGAGGATCCCCAGCTTGCGTCTGTTAGACAGCAGCAAGATATGCGCTGTACAGACGGGTTGTGGCTGCGAGGCACTCAGGTGTATATCCCTGAGTCTCCCAGTCTGCGGACTGAGATCTGCCAGTTGGCTCATGACCATCAAAGTGCTGGACACTTTGGTCAAGCCAAGACCCTGGACTTGATCCAGCGGCATTACTGGTGGCCAGGAATGCGACGAGAAGTACACCAGTACGTCGATACTTGCCTGGTTTGTCAACAGGTTAAGTACCCTCGTCATAAGACCCCAGGCTTATTACAGCCACTGGGCATTTTTGAGGAGCCATGGACAGAGTTGTCCATGGACTTCATTACACAACTGCCAAAAACTAAGGGAGGTCATGATGCTATCGTCGTGTTCGTCGATAGACTGACCAAAATGGTCCGCCTTGCAGCTACGACCACCGAGCTCTCCGCAGAAGGAGCAGCCGACCTGTTGGTGCAGAATGTGATAAGGCACCACGGCCTCCCCTCTCAGATAGTGTCCGACAGAGACGTTCGGTTCACTTCCGGGTTTTACCGGTACCTGGCCGAGAGGTGGAAGATTCAGCTCAACATGAGCACTGCGTACCATCCACAGACGGATGGCCAGACCGAAGTCATGAATCGGGTTCTGGAGGATTACTTACGCAGTTATACGCGTTCTGACCATGACGCGTGGGATGAACTGTTAGCCATGGCCGAGTTTGCAATGAACAACTCGAAGAACAGTTCCACCCAAGAGACCCCATTCTATCTGAATTACGGGAGGCACCCAAAGAGTCCCTTAGCTCTTGGTGTGCAAATTTGGAAGCCATTAAAGGGCTATGACAATCTGAATGCCTGCGGCTTGGCAGTGGCCATTGAAAGGGCACAGCAGCCTTATTTGAGGCAGTCCGGTATACCCCTCATGGAGGGATTACCAGCAGTGACACGATTTGATCACCGTGTCCAATCAGCGCTGAAAGAGGCCAGAGCGTGCTTGGAAAAAGCACGAGATAGGCAGTCAAAGCATGCTGACCGCCATCGGAGGGATGTGTCGTTTAATAAAGGAGATGACGCCCTCCTTTCGACATAGCATATCACCCTCAAACACCCTGGAACTCGAAAGTTATTACCGAGGTGGATTGGGCCCTTCACCATCCTTGACCGGATAGGTTCTGTCGCATATCAACTCGAACTCCCGGAAAGCATGCATAGGATACATCCAGTATTTCATGTATCGAAAATCAAGCCTTATAAGGCAAGTGGCAGAGTATAGCCACCCCCAGTACCTATCGAGATCGAAGGTGAACTGGAGTATGAAGTTGAACGTATCCTTGACAAAAGGATTAAAAAGCGTGGGAGACGCAAAAACTATGTTGAGTACCTTGTCAAATGGCTGGGATATGGACATGAGCATAACAGCTGGGAATCAGCAAAGTCAGTTGCAAATGCGCAGGAATTGGTTCAAGCATTTGAAAATGGCAGAACACCTGTGATGCGAATGCAAACTGCATGAAGTACGGGATGTACATACTGAAACATGCTCATGTGTGCTTATGCTTTTGACAGGTTCTCTTGCGTTGGGCCCAGAAAAACACTGGGTATACTGCCCCCCGTGCAAGGTCGCAGTTTGGACACATGAACGCCATGTCCGTTGCGATCCTCAACGGGGAGAGGTTGGAGACCGCCGACCCCTACGTGCCATTTCCCCGTGCGCTTGAGCGTGCACGCAGACGTGGGCGACGGCGGGGTGCCGCACCGGGCCGATCTGTACCGGCGTGGGCTGCTGGTGGTACTCGGCATCGTGGTCGCCGATGAAAGGCCGGGAGGTCAAACATTTCCAGCCACTTGGCTGAGGAAGAGTTTTAATGAGGGTTGTGAAGGCGGGGACGGTCATGTAAAACAACCACTCTTTCTCTTCATCCAAAACTGTTTTGTGTGTTGTGTTTTGTTAACTGGGCATGTGGCAAATCGCACAGCCAGTTCCACCAACATACATACAATGTTTCTGCTCCCGTATTCACTTATACTGGGACGAGGACGCCCCTCTCCCTGAGGGGGACGAATGTTACGCGCACCAGCCTGATGTGGGAGACGTCCTACTAATGGCCCTTGGTGCGGGGGACGCCCTGCCCAAGGCACGTACTATTCCTCACCCAATGTAACCTTTATCCCTATTAGGATACGGGAGTAGGAGGGGTGGTCCCGCCTAGGTGCCCTGTAAGGACCTAGGTGCCCGGCGAGGCGGGTCCGCGGCTCAAAGAGGGCAGGAACCCCACACCCACATCCTATTCGTAACACCCTCCCTATAATATATGGTCAAATGCTCCGCATGCAGGCTGCGGCCTCATTGCATGCCAACGGGGAGAGTGTGTCCACGTGCTGTAAATCCACTTGTCCGGTTGACTTACGGCACTCGTCCGGCTCACCCCACCCTGTACGGGTGCCGGCCATTTTGTCTAAAGACAACTCGCCTAAAATTCCGTTGACCCAAGTTGACTTCCTCATATTCACATCGCACATGCTTCCAAGGGCCCTCACTCATTCAACACATTCTCCTAAACCCAAAACCAAATCACTCATATCCGCATTCCAACTCAAGCCGGTGGCCCGAGGGCCCTCACTCATTTTACGCATTCCCCTAAACCCTAAAACCAACTCACTTATATCTGCATTCCAACTCAAACCGTGGCCCAAGGGCCCTCACTCGTTCAACGCATTCCTCTAAACCCAAAAACCAACTCACTCATATTTGTATTCTAGCTCAAGCCGGTTGCCCAAGGGCCATATGGAGCTTCAACGCCCTTTGTTTGTGAATCAATTCCCATTGTGGACTAGGGTCGCATTGGCCCGCCTCTCCCGTCGATCCACCTTCCTGCCTCAGAGGATCTGCTTGCTCCCTCGCTGTCAATAGGCCTGCAATTCGGTTGCCTCTCCCGTCGATCTATAGCTGCCAATCGACGCCCCACGATGTGCAAAACTGTGCCACACCTGCCAACCCCTTGCTTGGACCGGCGCTCACCCTCCTGTGCTATATCCCCCCCCCAATGTGTGGGCGTTAGGAACGCGCCCAAGGACCAGTTCGGAATGCAGCCGGCCACAAACGGAATGAAATGTAATAGAAGGTTAAATGCAGTTGATGGGCGTTGCTTAAACGAGTTGACTCAACTCGTCTAAAGACAACCCGTCTAACACAATGACGGAGTCAACGTTGCAATTGACTTCACCATTATGGACACCATTATTGCACCCTATGATAGGGCAGCTAAACACCATCATCATCATCATTTACAGAACAAGGCAATGAGGTAGCCGTCAGCTTCAGCTTCGTGCAGCTGAACACACGCAACGGCTGTGAAAACGAGTGGTGTTCGTAGCAGAGAAGTTTGTGCCATTGGTACACAACCAAGCCGTGGCCGCGTTTAGGGAGGATCACCCCTTAAACAAGTTGTCTTCAGACGAATTGGTCGGACACCCCCCCGCACACAGGCGGTCACCTCCCCGCGCCCATCCCCCCGTCCCATTGCTTGCACCCGTCCCTCTCCTTCCTCGCCCTTGGGGCCACACCCAGGAGCGCCAGTCCGCCGCGGCCCTTCCAAGACTCTAACACCCAGGCTCTGCACCCACTCGGCTCCCCGGGGGTCAACCGCCGGATCCGGAGCTTCGATCGACGGATAGGCCCCCCGCGCCGCGATGTTCAACCGGCGCGGCGGCGGCGGGGGGGCCACCCTGCCAGGCTACGACCGGCCCAGCCACCTCATGAAGCGCGGACAAGCCAGCCTGGTCCCGCCCTCCACCCTCCTCGTGGCCACGGCGGTGTTCGCGATCCTCTCGCTGCTGCTGGCAATCGGCATGGTCAGCCGAGGCAATCGGATCCACGCCCTCGAGCGGGAGAAAACATCTTTGGCGGTGGATTTTTCCCACAAGGATAGGGAGTCCAGCACCCTGACGCATACCGTCCGTCAGTTGGAGCAGGAGAAGGCGTCCCGAGAGGCGTCCCTGCAGCGGCTGAGCGCCGAGGTGGCCCAGAGGCGGGAGCAGGCTCGGGCGGCTGAGGAAAGGGCTGAGGTTGCCCGGAGGCAGGCGGGGGAGTGCCAGGGGGAGGCGGGGCGCAAGGAGGCGGCGCTGGCGGCGGAGAGGGGCGCCAAGGAGGGGCTGGCAAAGAGGGTGGCGGAGCTGGAGAAGGTGGGGCCGGGCGGGGAAGGATATTGCGGAGCAGCCAGCCAAACGGCCAAAAACTGGCTGGGGGGTGCTGGTGTGTGGTAGAGGTGGTTCTGGAAACTGCAGATGCGGCAAAGGCGTTCTGCTTTCGGCCAAATTACATCATATCTTGCCAAACTCATTTGTGAGGAGGGACGCCAACCAGGATGCCCTTGGAGGTGGTCTGCTGTGGGCTGCATTCTCCATCCATTCAGCCTTCTTCCTGTTCGGAAAGAGAACACTGAGCCCGTTTGCCTGTTGGATTGGATGGATGGAAAGTTTCCTCATCCCTACAGTGTAGCAGCAAGTGGCTCGTCATTGGGTGCTACTGTGTCGCACTTAGGCAACTTTTACGAAGTGGATAGACCATAGCAATATGTCTGTTGACACCCAGAAAAGATGAAGAATAGTAGCTAGGGTGGGTGAAACGTAAGTGGACATGACGATTTGGTTCCTTAGATAGGATGCTGAAGTCTTGCAATAGATCTGCGCAATCTGCATGAACTGTCCATGCCAGCACTGTCTGTGGCAAGCCAAAAGCCCCAATGCAAGATTACAACTGCAAGTGCCTGGCAAGTGTCTTCCTGCATTGCAAGAAGCAGCATCAGTTCATTAATCCTCCTGGCCCTTCATGAACACAACCCTCTTGGCTGGTTTCTTTGCATAGGACGATTGCTCCACGATTTTGATCTTGTTGATGGTCCACTGCTTCACATCCATGTTGGTGCTACAGATTTGGGGGAAGCCACTGCATGGATGCCAATGATTTTTGCTCAACATCCTGTTTCCTTCCACACATGGCAGGATTGTTCCATAGATAAGATGTTTGCTCTCTTGTTTTTGGGTTGACATTTACTGGTAGATCCCCACAAGAAGCACCATCGTTGCTCACCACAGATTTGCAGAGCGAGTGGAGAAATGGAGTGATAGATATTGAATGCTGTGAATGTGCAAACAGCCCGTCTTTGCCCGCAAGTGGCATGATGCTTGCTTTGGCAGGCGAATGCCAACGTGATATGAAGAACTTAGCAAGGACAAGGATATGTTCAAGGATATTCAGCATCATTGTGCTTTTATATTTTGCTTGTTCATTACAATATTACTACAATTATTGTGACGTTTTTATACAATACTGCTACAATTATTGCGACCTTTTTACAATGCTTATGGCAATGACTGTGGCTTGTTGTCCTTTTAAAGGCACAAGAGCAGTTCTTTTTCACCAGCTTGGCGAGTAACCTCCACCGAATTTCATATTCCCAGTGGTTTCACTGTCAGCATAGGGCAAACCACACATAGGCACTTGGGCAGCAGTGAAGGGCAAGGACGATGTCCTGGCAGTCTGTTTTCAGACAAGCGCTTTTGCTTCTGCAGTTTCTGTATCTTTTATTTCCGATTCTTGATGTTCACTCTGTTTTGGTGGAATGTGCATTCTTTTATCTGTGAACGTATGGTGCCTCCTTTCCCCATGGCTCACTTGCTGCCCTGCACACCAGGACCTCCAAAATGAGAAGTCCGCATCTCGATCCAGGGACACAGAGTGGCGCGTGCGGTACACGGCCCTGCAGGGCGAGCTCAGCACATGCCATGGAAAGATCATGGCTGCCCCACCGCCCCCACCCATAGGCACAAACCCCCCGGACACTGAGACCTACCCTGGCCTGGAGCAGCCATTGCCGCCCCTGCCACCTCTGCCGCCTCTGCCTGTAACCCCAGGTGTGCCATTATTGCTTATTGTACAGCGATCAGTTTGGTGGTGCGTGCTTTGCTGAGTGTGCTTGGAGCCTTGTCAAGAACTTGCTTATTTGTGCGTTTAGGTGTATTATTCTGGATGAGCTTTGTAGTATTTCATTCTTTTCTTGGTTTTCATTTGCTGGGAAATTGCAGGAGCAGATTTTTGGTTGTCAGCTGTTGACATCTCGTGCCGGTTGGATGAGTTCTGCTCTGAAAACATTGATCAAGCACTTGACGAGTGGACATCCAGACACCCTGCAGAGGGTAAAATGCTTTAGCAAGTCATAAGAGAATCTCAAGGACTGTCGATTGGGGGGTGGAGGTTGGGGGCAGTGCATGTCCTGCCTTGTTAAGGTTATTGAATGTTGAACTCAATGTTTGGCAAATGTTGTTTTATCAACAGGTGTACCTGCTGACCTGCCACCTCAACCCACAGGGCAGCAGTCAGCACAGGCAATGGGTCAGGCTGGAGTCCAAGCTGGGGAATTGGGGCGTAGGGTTGGCGCAACGGTTGATGCCCGTGTCATTGGCGATGTTGGCAGTGCTGCAGGTGCGTGACTTGAAAGTGATATTGGTGTATCAACAATGTTGAAAGAATGGTATACTTCACTATTAACAACGTGATAGTGTGAAATTTATGACAATGAAATGTACTGGTTTGCAGATGTGGTTGACTGCTTTTTTTTAACTTCCAAATCACTGCACTGGAAGTCAGGACAACCACACCTGCTTCTTGATCTTCAGGATGTTTAGCGTAAGCCTTGAATCCACTACCGTTGTTTGTTCAGGAATGGGACAGCAGAAAGGCTGAAAGAATTGCATGGAACCACAAGGTGTTTTTAGACATTTTGCGATTTCGTACATCCTGGACCGTTGGGCTGTTTGGAAATAGCTGTTTTGAAATATCAATTAACAATATAGAAATGAAGTGGTACAACAAATACAATATGGTGTCTCGCAAGGCCAGGTCCTGAACATGAGAAACCATCTTCTTTCCAACCGAAACCTATGGGAATGGAACCACTATGGTGCGCCACTGTTGTCATGGTTAGCCAGATGCCAAGAACATGCGACATCTTGGGCTGAGTTGCACTGGTTTGAAGAACTGCCTTGTCCTGTGTGCATATCATTTCTTGCGGTTGTTGCAGGGCATTCAAAATTTGCTCATTGGTTGGCTTTTCAAGAGAAACACTTCAAAAGTAATGTGTGATGGTATGGGCATGGTCTGAAGCAGTAGCAGGCATTTGTTCCCAGACTCATGGAGCACAGAATCAGGGTCAGGGCTGTGTACTGAGCGTGGCCTGCATACGTAACTGTGGAACACAGGATTATAGTTACAGAGTGGATTGTGATATGGCAAACTCAAGGATTCCCTGCATCGCTTCTCAATCAATTAAAGGATGCAACAAAGAAAATTCGCCACAGAAAGTGGTGGTCATGATTTGTTTAGCAAAGCCCAAGGAACATCACCAGCGACACCTAGAATCTGGGAGCTCTTAAATTACCCAGAGGATATCATAGAGAACGTGGATCGTAGAGTTTGTGGGTGGTCATCCATCGAGAGCATGACTGCAAGATGGCGAGTGGGCAACAGAAGTGAAAATGAGGTGATATGTCTCTGGCAAAAGACATTCAAAGGTGTCCAGTGTATGCCAGTATTGGCATGGCAACGATGATTCAAGAGCAGATTTTTTCTGTATGTCACCCACAGGCTTGCATCTGTGTCATTGGCGAGGGGCATCAACACACTCGCCGATGTTGCGTGTGCGTTGTAGCACATATGTCAACATGTTGCAACACACATGTGTATCCTTTCACTGCATCTATTGCATATGAAGCACACATCACAATGAGCATGTTTACATGTCTTTGTGCACATCTAAAGAACAAAGGAATTGCGGTGCAGGCACACAACGAGACGTCCAGAGTGTGGGTCAACAGGCACCCCCAGGGGCTGGTGGCGTGCAGGACCTTGGCCAGTCGGTGAATGATGGCACTGGCCAGAGGGGCGCAAAGGCTGGGGTGCCCTGACCAGGAGCCAGAGGCACACAAGGCAGCACAAATGGTAGCCATAGACAGCAGTGGTCGTTACTGAGGTTTTATCTTTCCTTTCATGTCCTGTTGAGCTCTTTATTGTGGTTTTGTACTTTCAGCCACAGAATTGCCTGGCCGAATTATCTGCAGCAGGGGCGATCTTCAACGATATCCACTGATCAGGCTGGGCTGCCTGATTTGTGGATTGTTGAAATAGGCCTCTGGACTGTAGCAGGCATGTTTCCATGGCCGAGAGCACATCGACGTGGGACAAGAATAGCTTGAGGGCCGTATCAATGCAGATATACGAAGCTGCGCCTAACGACTGTATCTTGGTGTAGAACGGAAATTGTGCCATGCATGACAAAAAGCATCTGGGCTGCAGATTGTGGTGCATGGTGCTGGTTTTGTACCTTTTTGAGAGTATCCAGGTATGGAGCCGAGATTTTGCCGTGCAAAGGTCATGCATGTGCCTAGCCTGCACAACAACATCGGGGTCGATCTGTGGCAGACAGGCCGTCACCAGGTCGAAGACTGCGTCCGCATTCATTTCTTCTAGAATAGGGAAGGCTCCTGCTGCTCTGGAGGTGCTCTGGAATGGCATGTGCTGGTAGAATAATTTGATGGTAGGAATCGGTTCGCAAACTTCTGTTCCGCTGGGCACAGGTAGATTATTTTAATGGGTGAATGCCCTTTCCTGGGCACTTCTGCTGGCTTGAAACAAGTCGGCAGCGCATTGTGGGCTGTTCAGGGTGTCTCAGTTGTTTCCGCCGCCATGCCATACTTCGCAGAATGCATGGCTGCAGGTGCTTGGAAGTCGTGTCCATGAGATATGCAGCCCCCCACACCCCCGCCTATCGAACGGTGTTTTCTGCATGCGCGGGTCGATGCAGCCTGCAGCCTGGAAAAATGAGGCACCATGCAGCTCTGGCCGAGGAGCATCAGATGTATCAGATGCTGGTTGTTGTCCCTCTAGTATGTGGCCCTTTCCCTGCGCAGTGGCACGCTGGCTCTTGGGTGTTCACGCACGGCTGCCCTGCGCATTGGCTGCCTGCACCGTATAACGAAAATCCTTCGGCTGCCTCGAGTTTGGCTTCAGAGCCATGGTGAGATCTTGGGGTGAATTCTCAAAGAAGCTCCTCTCATAACATTGGACTAATGAAACCACAATGATCGTCTTAATGCAACCCATCACAGTCCGTCTTCCATCTTGCGTACCGATTCACACACCAAAGAAATCGTATGGATGCCGCCACAGGAACTAAGCCCCTTGAAGCCCCAGCTGCGACCTTGGCATGCTGATGCAGCTTGAACTTGAGAGCATGTGCCGTTGAACCAAAGGCATCAAATTCACCATATATTGTAGTGCTACAACATGTGGTGACAGCCTCTAAAACTGGGAGGACACTGCACAACATCGATTTCGTTCACTTTCAAATACGTGGTATGCGTTAACCATGCTCTGAGAACAATCATTCTGCCCCCTTTCCTGGGGAGTATCAACCAATGGGGGCCACGCGCCGCCCAGGATTCTATTCTGGACATGTCTCGAGCGATTTTTGTTGTTGCCATTAATCCGGTCATAAAACCTCCCTAACTCCTTGTTTTGCATCTGGGCTTTCGTACCTGTGGGCTGTAACCCACATGGTAATGTACACGCTATGGTCGTGTACACAGAATAATTTATACATTGTAATGTGGCAACCACTGTTGCAACGGCGGGGCAGCAACACAATCTGCACATATGCTACGTCCCACCACATATGGCACACAAGGTTTCATCACATGCAAGCACGTCTATGAACATTCCCGGAGTACATGCTACGTTACTTTGGCATACGTTGCTGGCTTCCTGTTCGCCCTTGCTGTAGGTGGCTTCTGTAGCACTGCCTAGTAGAACTGTGCCCAACCAATTCTTGTCCAGGAGTTGAGCAACCCATTGTAGTAAACTATTTAGTACATTTTGCACACAATAGCTTCACCGCAATGGTGTGCCAGACGATTGGGCCCACACGGGACATTCATATGCTCTGCCGATGGAGGCTTGGGAGATATCGTAGTATGCATGCCCAACCAATCACTCATCGATTACATGGCAAACTTGAAAACCCACTTGAGCAAAGTACTGGGAGACTGCCGCGCCCTTCAGCACCCACAGCTGCAAATAGCGCGTTGGATGGCGCCCCGAGCCGCACGACAGGAACATTCATTCGTGGAAATAAGCCACTCTCCCCGCTCGATCACCCATGGGGCTGAATTCCCCTGTGCACGCAATGTAGAGGAATGTGTATGGAAATCGTTACCCTACTCTTGGCCTATATTTTATCAAAAAACACACCGCCCCGCCATAGGCCAGCCACACTATCCGCCACTTGTGTGTGCGACGTTCATTCCGAGAATGCAATCTGCAGATAGCACGCTGGATGGCACCCCGAACCGCACGAAAGGCACATTCATTCTTTGAAATAAGCCACTCTCCCCGCTCAATCCTTCATGGGGCTGAATTCCCCCTGTGCACAACATGTAAAGGAATATGTATGGAAATCGTTACCCTAGTCTTGAGCTATGTCTTATCAAACAACACACCGCCCCGCCACAGGCCAGCCACACTATCCGCCACTTGTGTGTGTGTGCAACGCGCGTTCCGGGAATGCAATCGCGCTCCACCATCAATCACTCCGTCAGTCCTCTTCAGTCACTCAGCCATACATCTGCTCCTCGTACGGCTCCACCTTCCTGACCTTGGCGGTGGCCTTGGGCCTGGGCGGCAGCTTGCCGGGGGGCGTTGGCAGGGACGGCGTGGGCACTGGCGGCGCCGGCTCCTTCTTCTCCGGTGCGGGGGGCGCCGGCGTGGTGGTCACCTCGAAGGTCGACTCCGTCGTGGCGGATGGGATTGGCTCCTTCGGTTCGGCAGGGGGGGCGGGCGTCTCGGTCACCTCGAAGGAGGGGGTCTCCTCGGGGCCGGGCGGCGTGGTCGACTGCTGGCAGTTGCTGGTGCCCACGACGTCGGCGCCGCACTGGGAGAGCCTGCGCGCGTTGGGGCAAGGGGGGTTGAGAAGCGGCAGGGTGGGGGTGGCAAGAAAAAGCTGTATCTGTCATCGGTAGGCGATTGCCCGGCCACATGCGAGAATAACTGAGTTCGTGGAACCAGAGTTCCGGGAGTTGAAGCCCGTTTGCTGGCAGCATGGAAACCCAGCCAACCCAGCCTGCTCCATTGCCAGGCGGTGCAAAGTCGGGCTGCCGGCATTATTTCGATGCGAGGCATTCAACTCTCAGCGGTACAGGTGCTCAGGTGGGATACGAAGTTCTGGAATGGAATTGGGTTGTCAATGGAAGAAACACGACGGCGTGCCTCCAAGAAGGCGTATAATGAGCGTCGAGAAACCATGACCAGATTGTGGTGGCTAATCGCTGCTTAACAACACAAGCAACACTCAAGAAGGTACTGCATGGATGCGCGATCTCCACGCAAACATGACCGATTTTGTGTACATTGTCGACGGAGCCGAGTTCGCGGTACTTTATTAGTGCGCAAACCACGGACACTCCATTCCGTATTGCCCCGCGCGGGCGGTACACTTACACGCTGTTGAGCCTGGCCCCGTCGAATCCCACAGCCATCGCGAGGGCGTTCCCCTCGAGCACGCCAACCACCCCGTCGATGACCTGCTGCTGGCAGAGGCCTGCGCACAAGAACCCCCGTCACCATCACGCCGCAACGCATACCGCCAACCGGCATTCGAATCGGCAATTCAAATCGTGTTGGGAATTCCCAATTGCCGGCACAGCACGCGATTCACATGGGCGCCGCATGAACGCGAGAGGGGCCGCGCTCACATCCGGCGAGCTCTCCGCCTCCGCCGACGTCGGTGAGGCCGGCGATGGCGTTGCAGCACTCCGCCGAGGGGGTGTCGCCCACGGCGCACGGCGTCAAGGTGGACGTCAGGCTGTCCTCGCCAATGCGATTGAACGTGGCGTCGCACTCGGTAAAACTGGGAATCTGGCCTGCGGACAAAACAGACAACGCTCGTCGACTCCAGGCGAGAGCAGACACATGTTCAGTCCGGGTCGCCAGCCCAAACCGACGCTCACCCAGCAAGCGTGCATGTGTGATGTGCATGTGCCCGGCCCCCGAATCCGGCTCGAGCAAATGGCGGGAGCCGCGATTCAGTGCGATGCGACGTTCCCATGCCGTTTACGCGGCATGGGAATGAACGCCGCACGGACAGCCAGCGAGGTGTCTTCCAAGCACTCGACCAAGGCTATTTCCTGGCCAAAGTCTCGAGGCACTTGAAGCGAGCGGGGGCCGCAGTTTCGCTCCGCGCCTCTCAGCATTCCCGTCGCAGCGGCCGCTGCACTTTGCTACAATTTGACAGCGTCCATGGCCGCAAATCCGGCGGATGCGCACCGTTGCAGAGGGCAAGCATGGCCAGAGCCAGGCACACCGCCGCGGCGAACCGCGCCATGGTGTCCGCCGCTTCTTTCCGTCTGTTCTGGCGCCGAAGGGAGCTAGGCCGGGAGGGCGTCCCGACGCTGTCTCTCTGCGTTCCTCCTCGCTGGCACCCTCCCGTGCTGTGCTGCCGAATGGGACGGAACAGGTGTTTTATGCGCCCGCGGTCGCGTCCACGCCACACGGGAACGATTGCCGGCGAGGATTCCGTAATGGTGGGACGGGGGCACCTCGGGATTCATCGGCAGGACTTCCATGATCACACCCGACGAGAGAATTTGCTCCGGGCGTCTCTTCACTGGTGGGACGGATCCATGGCGGGGGCTGTCATGCGTCCCCCCAATTCGGGCGCGATCATGACAAGATCGAGAAACAGAACTCTTGAAGGAGTTCCCAGGGATGTCGTGCTCCATTGTATAGCCTCAGTGTGGCATTCGAGCCGGTGGTGTGACGCGACCACCGTGCGCGCGCCCGGTGCAACGTTACGTGGGCTCTCCTGCGCCATGAATGGTACGCCAAACTCGGCCGAGATCTGGCGAATTCCAGATCGTTTTCCCTCAGTTGCTCTCCTGGACAACCAACGCGCATGAACTTGGGCTCGCCAAACAGGGTCCAGGCGCGCCAGACACGGCCGCCACATCAATCACCATGGCTACCACGTGTTGCTGCGCAACGAGTCAATCTGCCGCAAACACTGGGGAAAAAAGGGCCAAATAACACGTGTTCAAACGTGTACAAAGTTTGCGGGTTTGGGTTACTTCCGTGTTTTTAGCACACAGAGCACTGATGTGTGAGTGTGTGTGTGTTCAGCAAAAGTGTTGTTTGCTCCTTTTTGGCGAGTGAAATGACAGGGGAAGCCTTCGAGAAGGCGGCAGCGAATGTGGCTTCCAGGTCAGGAGGAACCCCAACACTTTGAGGGTGGCTGAAGCCGCTGCCCCCAGGAGTCGGCGGATTCTGGACTTGGACACAACTAGACATCAGAACACAATTCATGCGCTCTGGGCGACTGTCCATGGATTTCCATGCTCTAGATCGCTGGCATGTGGACGTCGCCAAAGTTTTCACCATCACCTTGCGTTTGGGGACCGCCAGCAATACAGCCGCAGGATCCAAGGACGCAGGGCCCAAGGACGCAGGGCCCAAGCTGGCTGATGGAGACATATGGAGACACGAGCATGGACATATCGCCGACCAACGGGATGTGGCTGCTTGTGTTAAATATAATGACCATCATAATAACATGATGCATCTTGATGACTGACAGGGCGTATGACTAGAACAAGATCCGATTAAGAAGTTAATGTACAGACGAAAAGAAAAGGATCGATAGTTGGGCATGACTGAAAAAAGTGAAGTTGATGTCGATTCTGATGTATGGGATGTTAAAGTCGTCGTCCAGAGTCGTCAGGCGTCTAAGCGTGCTGAGCATGTGTCAAACGCTTGATAAATGAAAGTCGCTGAGGAACTGTCGATGTGCAGCTCCGCTGTGTCGCGCGCGAGAGAGGTTTGCAGAAGGGAAGGCAGGATGTCCAAGCTAAAAAGGGGCATGTCTGAATTGAAGCCTGGGCTACAAGGAGGGCACAAAATTCTGGCTCAAAATAACGAGGGAAAGACAGCCGTGGGAAGAGACGATGCTAGTGGCTGGATTATCCCTAGAATACAAGCTGTAAAAGGAGTTCTAGAGTGGGTTTGGTATGCTTGATATGGGCGGCAGGCAAAAAAGGATGGGATGAGACAACTAATCATGAGTCAACTATGAAAAAAAGAAACAAAGGGAGTGTCACGGGTTGTAAGGCTGATTGACCATGAATTGTGTGCATGACGGAGGGCTGCATTAATCTGGCATCAATGAACAGTAAATGCATGCTGCAAGCAACACACTCCATGGCAGGTTGCCCTTGAGCATGTAACATTGATATGCAGCCGTGAAATTGTTGAAACAGCTTCTGTTCCTTCATGAAAGGACAGGCTGACAACCGTGAGTGAAAAGTCCGCCAACGTCCAATAAGACCTAAACATGCTTTCACACAATTGGCAGGTCATTATGACTAGAAGGAACAGAAGGCGGATGAGTATTAAGAACGTTAAATAGGGAAACAATGGGGAACGATTTATGAAATTGGGCTTTGGCGATGTCCCGCGATAAGCAACTATATACGGGACCAAGAGCAGGAGCGTATGACAGCCAAGGGAAGGGCCTTGACGGAATGCGACGTGCAGTTCATTATAACAAAATTTCAGCTGCCTGTTATAAGTAGCCCTGGAGATAACTCGCTAGTAGGATTGGTTGCAAATCTACTGGTCCATTGGCATCCCAAGTATGGACCCAAGTATGAACGTCACGGCATGGAATGTATTGTTAAGAAGCTGCGCGAATAGTTACTGTCACAGGTCTGCGAGGACACCCAGTAGGGTTCGCTCGCATGGGCGCAATGAAACTTCAAAAAAAAAAAAACATACCAGCCAGGGGCACGCGGCGTGGGATGGCAGGGCCTGGACGGGCGTCGGAATCGTTGTAAAATCAGTCTTTTTACTGATAGTGATGGGGAATAGTGCACTGAGCACGTGCATTGTCGACAAAAGGTTTAATGGAAAAGAGCTTGATGATAGACCAGGGAAGTATACTAGATACGGTTTTACAAGGCGACGAAAGGCACAACAACCACGCACCGTAGGTCGCCCATGCCCACCGTAGGCCAGATTTGGACTGAAATTAATGCTGGGTCGCTCTCATGACAGCCTAGCGGGATATCATATGTGGCTGCGCCCGCCCCCGCATTTCATGTCACACCCTTGTGTGGAGTACACGCCACACATGTCAACCTAATACTGACGAATGTACGGGTGACACCTCGTCACTTGGGGTGCTTGCCCACAGCTGCCGCCGTGTGTCATGTGTGATAGCAGCCTTCGTTATCGCACAGCAGCATTAGACTCCAAGTTGTGGGGCGCCTCAGAGACGCACGCATGGTGGTGGTAACTTGAAGCGACGCACTTCAACATGGCTACGAGAGCGCGGCTGCCAAGGCTTTAGGACGATGATGATGGCGAAGTCGAATGGGCTTGGCGAGTGTTGTCCTCACGGCCCCGATTCGCCGCGCCATGCATGGACTTCGCATGTCCAGGTGGACCTGCGACGGCCCCAAGGGATGTTGGAATCCATGGCGTGACGGATGGCCAGGCGCGGTGCTGGATTTGAAGGCCTGCTCAGCGATGACGGACGCATCCGAGGCGCTCGCGCCCGTGAGGGAGGCATGGGGAGGCAGGCGAGGACGGAGTCAGATGATCGCGGGCAGCGGGTAGCACGACGTGCGTGCGACTAGACGGGAGGCTGTGGGACCGAGTCAGGAAGGCGTTGGGGCGGTTGCGGATGGCGAGGAGTAGCGTCAGGGGTCGGACGGTGAGGGGTGACATGTTATTTATATGTTCCCTTGGTATGACTCATGTGAATGAGTAATAAGTGTAGGATTTCATGTGGCAAGATGTGGTTTGACATGCTATAAAGGCGGATGGCCCAAACTGATCGTTTTCATGATGAATAAATGTTAATTGGATCAATGTGGGTAAAGGTTGCAATAACCATTTGATTTGGTTTGACGGCGGAAATGATGTGCATTAGGGACGGACGGTCCGTATTTATAATCCGCGTGTTCGTTGGCTGATGGATGAGAGTGTACCTTAAAATAGCCTTGATCGCAATCAGTGGGTCTGAATTTATTGAATTTTTGAAGGGACTTGAAAAGGGCCGCTTCAGTGTGAATCCAAGACTGCAGTAAAATGACGGGCGTCAAATGAATTGAATAGAGTATTTGATGGGACATTACATGGGGAACGGCTGTGGTCACCTGATCTATTGGGGGAGAGCGTGGATTCCAAGTTGGATCCCAAGGTGACCGGTGAAAGTGATATTGGCTGAGAAGTGACGGGTTGGCGAGGGACACTTAGGAATTGATCTGAATTAGGGGAGTTGAGATTTGACAAGCGATGGGAAAGGCAAGGGGGAGCGAGGGTGATCAGGGGGTGATCCCGAATATTCGGGAATCTCCCCTGGATTCCTTGGAGGGGGCTGGGGTGGCGTGGGGTGTGTGAATAGAGTGGCTGTGCCCCATTTGGACAAGCGGGTTGGAGTTGGCTCTGAGCCCATAGGCAAAGAGTTCAGTAAGAACGAACCTGGAATTATTTGTGAAGCAGATTGCAACCCGTGGTGGGTTGCCTTGTAACTAACTTATTGAACACAAATTTCTTTCCATTACTTAAGGGTGAAAACAAATTATCACCAATCACCTATTAGGAAAACCTGTGGGGCCCCAAATTGGTGTTAAGTACTGTTAAACCCGAGGTCTTATTCATTGGGGAAGCCTACGGCGTTGCAGAATAGCCCCGGCATAGAGGAACACCCTCGGGGCCCCTGCTCTGTTGCCGAATCATGGTAAGGGGGCTCTTTCCTAAATTATTCAAGTGAACCTGCTGGTAGTACTTTGTGAACGCACGGCAGTTGCGTCCTCACCAGAGACTGTCCAACCGCGTTGCATTGAGGGAGGCTGTATACATTCAGGTTTAGAAGGACCTAGAAGTAAGTGGTGTTGATAGTAGAGTTAAGTTTCAAATCAGCTCACCGTAAGTTTCATTAAAGTCCGACTGAGCCACTGCCTCGCTGACGTTCAGTGAGGTGTAAGGGAAACGGGATAGACATTAGGAGTTTAACAAGAGACAATTGGAACACAAATACACTTTTTTACATGTTGTTCCTTGTCCAATACAAACTTGATAACTAAGGCATGAGCCACCCCGAGGAAAACTTCCAAAGCTACACTAGGCCCTGCAAGACTAGCGCCCCCCCTATTAAGCGCAGAAAACTGGAGTGCCCGCCTGCTCCGGTTAAGAGTAACCTGTCAGGAAGCTCACAAGTAGCCCAGGAACATCCATTGACCAAAAATCAGACACACCACCTAAGAAAGAGCTGGAAAGAGCTGTCTGAGAAGGTTATTAAGAGCTGAGTTGTGCTGAGTGCACACA